ATTTTACAAATTCCATATTACTAGGGTGGCACCCTTCTGAGAAATAAAAATACAAAATTATCTTCATCAAAGCCGATGCTTTACATCCGGCGTTCAGTGGCAGACTACTATTTCATATTGTTTTACAACACATGGCTTAGCCCTTTGGTGGGAAAGAATTTAAAACAAAATTTACAACAGTTACTTTTCTCAACAACTGAAATTTAGAATAGTGTGATTNTAATGTAGATTGAGAAAATCAAGATCAACTATAAAATAAACTTTAGTTGTGTTTAAACAGTAAATAAAATACGTATTACTGGCATTGTTTAATTTTGGCAGCCTGGTTTAAATAACGCAAAACATTCTGTCAAATCATTTATCTCAGTGCATTCAAAGAATTGGACTACAGACTACTGTATTTCTGTTTTAATGTAGATTGATAAAATCAAGATCAGCTTTAAAATAAACTAATATTACTTATACGATGAATGAAATCTAGTTGTATGCCAACTGGAAATATGTAATGTTAGTTTAATCAAATATATACATGTCTTGAACTTCACTTTACGCAAACAATTTTGTGGGTATGTTTAAATTTTGACGATAATAAAAACCTTTATTTATTAAATAAATTTTAGTAGGACTTAGATTTGTAATAAAATAAAATTATAAACTGGAAATATTAAAATATTAATTTAAATATCGGAACTAAATCAAAAATTACTTTTTAATTTTTGTAATATCTTCTTGAATTTCAGAGCAGTCTAAAAAGTGGACAACCAAATATATTGTAAATAAAAATAAAAAGATGGAGATAATTAATTAATTTTTTTAATAAATGCTGAATAAAATTTTATATAACTCGAAATTGTTAATATAAGGAATTTTGTAATCAAGTAAAAACTTTTAAAAGTGTGTTTACTGAAAAGAATTTTAGGTTTGTTGATAAATATGACAGTAAAAACTGCAAAATTACTAGAGAATTTGGTTAGTAAATAAATCTGTAAGATCGATGATTTCCATTTAAAATTACTTTTAAAAGAGAAATAACCTAAAATTAATAAATTATTAGCTAGAATTATAATGCAGTAACGCAATTAAAAAAATAATAAAAATCATTATATTATTGCTAACAAATTCGCATAGAATTTAACTTATATAGATTACAGATACAGATTTTAATTTCGCAAAAGAACTACACAAACCTAAATGTTTTTCTAAAAGACACAAATATCACCAATACATATTTAATTTTATTTAACATTATGCCAATAATAATTAGAAACAAATAAAACACAACTTACTTATCTTCAAGCTGTTTTTTATGCTTAAAATATTTTGATAATTTGCTCAAAATATCAGAAGCTAATTTCACATTATTTTCAATCAATTCAGACCAGCTAGTTGTCTCTAAAACTTGTGTAGCATTACCAAACATATAGTTTAGTACTATATTCTTCAAACTTTCATGATTAATCATATCAGCCACAGCGATCACTTCACATACATTTTCTATATTCAAGTGACCCAACACCATGGATGAACATTCCTCCACTAGTGATTGAACCTGATACTTATCAGCTGCTAATAACAGTTTCAATGCACTCTCGCAATCCATATCATGCATGGTTTCAGTATATATATACTCTATTAAGCTATGCAAAGTGTTCATATCCACGTCTTGGATGTCTACAGTGCCAGTTTGAGTTTCCATCATTTCTTGATCGAACATTGTCGAGAAAACAGGTGATCGAACGGCTAGGACAGCTTTGTGGGCAAGAATCTCTTCATTTTCTGCTCGCAGTTTTACGTCTGAAAATTTTTTATTGGTGTAGAGTTTCTGAAAATCATTCAACAAACGATTACAAGATTTTGGCTTTGAATTGAATTCTTTACTGAAATTTAATCTGTGAATGTATCTTTGGATAGTTGATGAAGCAATTTTTACTTTTGAAACGGCATATTCGCAAATGAATGTGTATTTGTGTCGAGTAGAAACAGCTTTTGCTAATTTCAAATCTTCCATAGCGACAAATGTTGGATATTGCCATGGCTCCATCGATTCAAAAGTATGTACATCACACTTAGAAGCTATTTCTCCCCATATGTCGCTTAAAAAAGTTATTTTAATCTTGATTAATTCGTTTAATAATTCCTCTTTTAATACCTGTATATTGATAGTAACATTCTTCTCTGGCGCACTTATAGTAATTTTAAAGTCAGAAGAGTCTAAATATGGCAATGTTACACTATCAGTAGAGTTTAGAAATCCAAAGTTTGAAAGATCCCATTTAAAAGCACATGAATCGACATCTATAATAGTAAGAGCATCGCACTCTGTTCTTAGCGGTTTCTCAGTGTTCTCAAGACTTGTTATTGTACAACGAATCGTCAAGGTATCTTCGCTCCAAGTTTTCATACTTTCATATAGTTGCTCAACTTCAATCATATCCCAACCCCATGAGTCACCCTCTTTAAACTCTATTTCGGAAGATTTACTGTTTAAAACTCGATCATTTATGTCAACAAATTCTATTTTATAATTCAGGATCACTTCTTGCGTAAATAAATCTGGTTTTTTCCTTGACAGAAAACATTCTGCAAAACATTTTGTCTCATCGCAATATTTATTTAGATAGAAATATAAATACCATTCTTGTACAACAAGAAAATCCACTACAAATATCGGACTGGAAATTTTTTCCTCGCTATTCCAGGTTAAACAATTTGTTATTTTCCAAGTAAAGATAAATTGGCTTTTTTTGTCATCAGCCATATTTTAAAATAGAACTATAAGCAGAAATAATATGAATAAGAATAATACAAACAAGCTACTGAGTTAAGTCAGTCATGCGATAACATTATATTTTAAGCCACCAGAACAAAATGAGAACTCCCCTATCTGAGTTATCATTAAAATCACGAGTGATGCTATTAAAGCTTATCATTTTTTATCACTTTTTTAAAATTTATTTATCTCTTCTTTCTCCATTTGTTGAGAATGAGCAGACGTTTAAAATGCAATGTGACGCTTCCTCGTATTTAAATGGAGTGCATAGTCACCGAGAGTCAAGGTCAAGGTCTCTCAGTAGGTTTGTGACGTCATATTCGGAAGTATTAGCGGACCATAAGCTAACGCGGTATTCAGATTTGTTAAAAAGAAAACTATAATAAATAGTTCAAATTTTTGAGCCACGTAAATTTTTTTTATTATTATTGATAAATTTTTGCTAATTTAATAACACTTAAATATTTTTCACCTAGTGAATTTTTAGCTTCTTATTAGAATAAATTTATGTTATGGTAAATGTTATTTATCAGGTTATAACTCAATGAAATGTACATGTTGGATTGTTCGATGCTTTTCATGAAACAATATTATGTGTATTTCATTATAGAATATGATTTAATAAGGATTTTTTTGTTAATTTTAAATCTTGATTCATCATAACTATTTTAAATAACAAAAGAATAAACCTCATTTAAGTGTATAATTTATTATTTTCTAACATGTAATCAAATATTGGATTTAATCATATATTTTAAAATAAGAAATGATACATTTCAATAAAGAAAGAAATACGAGACATATAAAAATATGTTATATCATGGCAGAAAAGAGACAAATAAAGAAATTATAATTTTATTGGCACATTCACAAAATTGCTATTTTAAAATTGGTTCTAAGGAATTCTTTCAGAATCGTATGATATACATTTAATTTCAAGTTGACATAATATAAACGTAACCATTGCAATTATTAACAAATAAACGATGCATGTAATATAAAAATAGGACCAAAATAGGACCAAACAATTTAGCTAAGTAATAATTATAAAATAATTACTATAAATAAATAATTACAAAAGTATTTCGATCCTTAAGATTGTAAAACTTTAAAATAGTATTTTTACTTATAATAATAATAATAAATAA